TTATCTTGCTTCCTTTATTCCCCCGTTGTTGGAACATATGCTGAAATCGTTTTATAAGTTGGAAAATTATGTTTGAGGCTCATTTCTTGCCTCCCTTGTTGCCCCTTATTTTGGTCTCGGTTTTGGCTTCATGGAATCTGATTTTTATGGCTTTGTTTGGACCCATTTAGTGAATTCGATCTATCTGGAATACTTCTCTGTTTTGCTCCCTTTTCGCTGGATTTGGTTTGCCCCTTTGTGATGGGCTCGGTTGGTCATGTTCTTGGGCTCGGTTTGGGCTCCTTTTGGTGATTTATGGGGGCTGAAATGTTTTACTGTTGGGATTATTTCTTAGGCCTTGGTTTGCCCCTTCTGCTGGGCTCAGTTGGTTTTTTTTTTGGGTTTGGTTTGGGCTCCTTTTAGTGATTTATGTTGGCTTACATACTCTACTGTTTAGATCATTCCCTGGGGCTCAGTTTTCCCCTTCTTATGGGCTCTCCCTCTTGTTGCCTTACCCGTGAGCTGGAGTTTGGGGTTTGGTTGTGATTTGTTGCTTTATATGTGAGCTCCCTTTCAGGCTACCTTACACGTGGCTCTCCTTCATGCTGCCCTACCCGTGAATTGGATTTTGAGGGGTTGGCTATGATTTTTGTTGTCTTACCTGTGAATTTTAACTCATGACCTTTTAGTGGGATAAATTGGATTGGTAATTATCTTTTTCTATTACTTTGATTATGAATATTTATATGGACAATTTCATAATTGTGAGATATAAAAGAAAATGGAAGGAGCTTTTGATTAAAGTTGAAGTTGAAGGGCTTTGATAATGGCATGATTTTTGGAAGTATAGAAGGATGCTCTCTATGGATTGTTCTCCTATATTTTATGAAATGTAAAAGGCTCTTGAAGCTTCATTTTGGGATTAATATCAAATTAAATTCATAAAGGGATTTGGAAATCCGTAAGATTGACATTTGAAAAGGATATCCTTCTCGGGATTGATCCAATCATTTTTTTTTAACGAATTTAAACGTTTTAGACCGATACATTCATGATTTCATTTTAAGCTTCACTGATTTGACTTGATTTAAAAATGGATCGGTCTCCTTTTTGTTCATTTTGTTTTCCCTTTTTTTTTAACGGTCAAGTTAAAAATGAGAATTTCCGATTTAATTATATTCAGAAATGATTCATAATCTTAAGGTAAATATGAAAAGAGAAAGGAAAAAAAAATTAAAAATAAGATTTGGATTTTGATGTGATAAAACCTAAAGGGCGATAGAATAGTGAACCATCTACCGTTTCTTTTTGCATATGAAAGATAAGCATATGAAAGATAAAACTTTTGCATATGAAAGATAAAACTGTAAATTGAAAGAATAGTTGAGGGTTGGAAGAAAATGAGAGTTTAGATAACGATTAAGGACATGAATTGAAAGATCTGTAGACCTGCACTTAGGTTCCTTAAGTTTCGAATCAACTTAAATCCAACTACCCTAACTAGGTTTGAAACACACTTCACAACTCTTTTGTCAAAACTATAGGTTTACCCTCTAGGTTTTGGGAGCTTGATGGTGAGCTAAGCTTAATTTAAAGATGTTTGAGGGTTAGTTGAAAGACACTTCAAGTTTAAATTAAAGTGTAGGTTTCCTGAGTCTTAGGAGCACACCTTAAGAGAGTTTATCATCTTAATTTTCAAATAAACCTAAGAAGCCAAACATCTGACCCCAATTTGTGAAATAATTAGGACACTAGACACGAAGGTGCACTAGATTGTGATTCATGACTGATTTAATTAGATCAGATAATGAAATTCTTACCTTAACTTGGTCAAAACTGAAACCCAATGCTCCAGGATTTGAGTTTGTCTTACACTCAAATCCTCCTGGCAATTGGGGGCATCCCAATATCATATATAAATTTCTTATTCTTGGCCCTTTATATATGATATTGTATTTTATTTTATTTTATTTATTTGTCATTTTTCCTACGATTTACCTGTTTTTCTCAAGTCTTTTTTCAGGTCATATTTTCCTCCTTTACACAGCACATAATAGCTAAACTTAAAGGAGCAATGAACCTACCAGGTGTACAGGTTTAATTTATATTACAATATTTTATCTCAAAACATGTTATATTGTTTTCATAGCCTGTTATATTATTTTCTCAGCATATTATACTACTCTTTATAGCACGTTATACTCTTCTTTCAGCATGTTATACTGTATTTCCTCTTACTGTACAGTACATTGTTACTTTTCTTTCACGTTGCATGTTTTATTGCTTAGTTTTTGCACTATGCCTTAGTATAGGATAACCTAGTAGCTAGGTGCATGTTCAAAACTATACCAGGAGGTGCTACTATGAAGAGTTTGGAGCGAATTGTATAATTATAAGTCCTAACGCTTTAGGATTCCGAGGTTACCGTGCGATACGGTTTAAATCCTTCTATCTTTTTAGGTTATTTGCACAGTCTGATATTGTGCAAACATAAGTCCTAAATCCTAAATAATTTGCAGGATTGAAATATCAAATTACATCATTTCAAAGACATAAAGCCAAACAATAGGATAGTTGGGATTTCACCGGAATTTTCCTCGAATTTGTGATATCCCCTACTTTTCTTCCATTTGGATTCCTTAAATAATTGTTCCTATTTTGAGTCATTCTCATTTGATTTTCATATGTCTAATCGTGAAAACCTAAACTTTGAAATCTTGAAGGAAAAATCATCTGATCTTAATCGAGAGTTTTCTAAGATATAATTTTGCCTCTATAGGGAATCAGGAACCCAGATAAAATAAACTCTATCTAATTTTTACGTTATATAGGGGAACTTGTTGGCCTTTTTATAAAATATTTCGCAAACTAAAACAGAGTCACAAATTCTTTAGTTTATGTGATTGAATCCCTATTACAAGTGATATATTTATTATTTGGGATAAGTGTATTACTTGTACTATTGTATTCAATTATCTAAACTATTTAAAACGTGAGACCTGTTTGATCTCACCTATTTTAAAATTAAAATGTTATTTTTATAAATAAAAAAGGTTACATTTATAATTTAAATTATTTTCAAAAATCACAAAATCATTCACTTTTTCAAACTACGAAGTTTAAAAAAAAAATGGCCGACACAGCCTCACACAAAAAATTTTGGTTTCAAGAAGACAATCTTTTCCTACTGCTAACTCCCATGTATTTTATCGAGTCGATGTACTTCGGATCCCACATTTCACTTTTTATTAGTAAAATTATAGTAATTTCTTTTCTTATAGTTTACATCATATATGTTTAATATAAATTTCTATAGAATCGGCAATAATAAAAAAGCAAAAAGGATTCCTCTACAGCATATTTAAGAGAAGATTTTAACGAAGTGAGGCAGCATCACTATGATTGTAAATGTGTATGATGTAAATTTATCATTTTGAGGGCTGCTATTGTTCCCGTGATCCTGTTAATTCTCTGATGTTTAGAACATTCTGCCCTTAAACTCGGCAATCACCTAATGTCTTTGCTGTTTGTCTATTCCATTAAAATTTGGTTCAGTAGATGACCATGCCTCTTATAACATTTACAAGGAGCAATTTAGAACTTCCAGGTTATTTCAATTCTTCAACAATAAAAAGGCAAGTATTTTCTTATATATCGTACTCCACCATACATTAAAAGTAATAGTTTTATTCACTCAAATTTTCATTTTCTTAATGAAATCTAGAATTTCAACTTTAGTTACATAGATCGCTGTTTATTGTTCCATGGGTTGTATTTTGGTAGCGTAGGACTGATTCCATTAAGATTTAAGTTACATTTTCTGCCTTTGTTATCTCTTTTTCTCATGCTCATCCTCATTGATTCTTATACCCGTGTCTGCTTGCAATGTAGGTTACCCTTACAATTTAGACTTTGATTACGGTGCGCTATCCCAGCTGCAACATTTTTCCATTAATAACCTTGGTGATCCTTTTATTGAGAGTAACTATGGTGTCCACTCCAGACAATTTGAAGTTGGTGTTCTAGACTGGTTTGCTCGCCTTTGGGAACTGGACAAGAATGAGTACTGGGGTTATATCACTAACTGCGGCACAGAGGGGAATTTGCATGGCATACTTGTTGGGTAAACATTTTCTGCACTCTTTCATATCTTCCAAATAGCGTTTTATGCATACATTAATTGACTCTGCAGAAGGGAAGTTTTTCCTGATGGGATACTCTATGCCTCGAGAGAGTCCCATTACTCAGTTTTTAAAGCAGCAAAAATGTACAGAATGGAGTGTGTGAAGGTTGCCACTTTGGTCTCCGGCGAGATTGATTGTGCCGATTTCGAAAGAAAATTGCTTCTTAACAAAGACAAACCTGCCATTGTTAATGTCAATATTGGTGAGTAATTTTCAAGCTCTCCCTTCACCTTCTATTCCTCTCGATGGATTTAGCTGATATTTTAAGTTCATCCAGGAACAACGGTAAAAGGAGCTGTCGATGATCTCGACCTGGTTATAGAAACACTAGAAAAAACTGGATTTAGCGGCCAGTTTTACATCCATTGTGATGGCGCTCTATTCGGTCTTATGATGCCTTTTGTTAAACGTGTATGTTTGTTCTCTCTCTCTCTGTCTTTTTGATTCAAACTCAAACATTGATTATAACTTTATATGATCAACTAATGAACAGGCACCGAAGGTCACCTTCAAGAAGCCAATAGACAGTGTCAGTGTCTCCGGCCACAAATTTGTGGGATGTCCAATGCCCTGTGGGGTGCAGATCACGAGATTGAAGAACATAAACGTCCTGTCGAATAATGTGGAGTATCTCGCTTCGAGGGATGCGACCATCATGGGCAGCAGAAATGGGCATGCTCCCATCTTCCTGTGGTACACATTGAACAGGAAAGGCTACAAGGGCTTTCAAAAGGAGGTTCAGAAGTGCCTGAGAAATGCTCACTATCTAAAAGACCGTCTGGTCGAGGCGGGGGTGAGCGCCATGCTGAACGAGCTCAGTAGTACTGTGGTGCTGGAGAGACCTAAATATGAGGACTTTGTTCGCAGGTGGCAGCTTGCCTGTGAAGGAAACATAGCTCATGTGGTGGTGATGCCAAATGTGACCATTGAGAAGCTTGATTGTTTCTTGGATGAGCTCATTCGGTCTCGGTCAAGTTGGTATGGAGATGGTGAAAGCAGACCTCCATGTGTTGCTGCAGACATTGGGGAGGAAAATTGTTGCTGCGATGAGCACAGCAAATCTGCCAATTAGAAAAAAGGGCAAATTTTAAATATTGGATTTTGTAAATCTAGTTTCTCTTCAAATCCTTTCAGTTTTATCTTAAATCCTGAATTTGCAATATTTACTTAATCCGGATTTACAGATTTCAGTAAAGCTTTTAAGAGACGGCCCCTTTGAACTGCTTGAACATGTGGCTTGTGGCATTGAGACTTAACTTTTGTGGTGATCGAGGCAGTTTTAAACACTTCTGTGCTGTGGTCTTGCTTCATTGTTGTGTTATTTCTAACGTTGACTGATCTTCGGATTGTTTAATTGTGGCTTAGCATTGTAAGCGTTTGAATGGCCTCGCTCTTGCTTCATTGTGGTTCATTTTCTAAGTAATCAATACAAGCAACAAGATACATCGTTTCTTATTTGTTTGGCGCAACTAGAACTGAATTCTAAATGCATGTAGAATTTTCTTTTAGGAAGTGTGATTATAATTTTCAGGGGTTCACTTTAATTGTTTTTTTTGTTTTATTTTTTATTTTATTTTGTTTATTTTTTAAATTTAAACAAATTATGTTCGATTGTTTGATTAAAGTATGATTATTTTTAAAATATTTAAAACACTTAAAAGTTTTGAGTGTTTTTAAAAATGTTAATTAATTTTTTAAATGAAATATATATATATATATATATTATTAAATAAATATATTTTAAAAATAAAAATGATCATAAATAAGCCCTTAAGAAAACATGCTGAACTTAAGGCTGCGCAAATGATCGTCTCCATTGTATCGATTTAAAATTCATTAAAATAATTAAATCAAATCAAATAACATGTGAGATTAAGCTGACTCAAACAGAATTAAACTATAATTCCATTAATTTTGGATTAATCAAATTTCAAAATTGCAATTAAGATGTGCATTTTGTAAAGTCAGATTTATTGGTCATCACATTTCCTAAATCAATTAGTTGATGGATACAATTTAATTAAAATCTTTTTTTTTAATTTAATTTAATTTTTTGTTTTCCAAAATGATCCAATGGCAGATTCCAAATAATCTTTAAATTGGAATAATAAGTGATGCGTGATTTCATCAACAGAATCAAGTCTACCAAATATGTTCAATTTCATTCAATTTTTTCATTTAAACCGATCAATGCAAACCTCTAATTGAATTACCTGCCATGTATAAAAAATTAAATAATTTAGATCCAACTATGCCCTAGATTTGTTAATAATAATTGAAATGAATTGTTAGGTCAATATATTCTAATCGAAAGTAAAAAAAAAAAAATATTATATTTATTTGAAAACTACAATAAAATGACTACTCAATTTTAATAAATTTAAAATTTAAGATGATTTTATTTAAATGATGACTAATAAATCATAAGATATGTCTAAAATTTATGAGTCTAAAACTCGTGAATTCTGAAAAACATTCTCATTCAACAAATAGAATAAGAGTCATATCTCTCGGCCAAATTATCATCTAATTTTTTTCTTAATCGAAGAGAGACAGACCTTTATACGACACTGATCATGAAAGAAATTAAAAAAGCTGCGTATTATTATTTCCTCATGCCATTGGAAGATGACCAAACAAAAAAAGGAATGGGTCTAGAGGAATTGAAATTAGGGGCATTTACATATATAAAACCCAATTCTTATGTATTTTACATATATCACTATACTTTTTTTTTTTTTGTGCGACCATACCAATAACCTGGATGCCATCAGAACTACGCAATTAAGCATGCTTGGCTGAGAATAGTACTAGGATGGGTGACCTAAGAACTCATCGTATTGTACCACTCCATTTTATACATTATCATTATCGGTCTCAAGCCCGGATGTGAAAAGTGGAGGGTTGCGTTAGGTAATCAACAACCGGCATAAAATTTGTCTAAAAATCATAACATAAATCATGACTTTGCTTTTTTATATTTATACCACCCAAATTTATTCATATCAAAGAAGTACCACAATTTTAAACTTCAAAAAGTTAAATACACCATTCATATATAAATAAGACAACTTATACATAAAAATTGAAATTTAGGTGCTAGAAATACATAAAACATAGAATAATATGCATGTAAATCTTCCATGACAATAGTCTTAAACCAAAAAAATTGTTCTGGAAGGTTTAAACATAATAACTTCTGATTCAACAAAGACCAGCAAGTAAATGCAACCAAAAAAAAACCTGCTTCTCCCAACGAGACCAGAATGTAAATGCACATTTTCAGCAGAAACAAATCCATGTGAAAAAATAAAACCTAAATAAACAATTAATTATAAAGCAAGCACACCAGCTAAATAATACAATTATTACGAACAACTGCATGATGTCATACAAAATACAATCTTAAAACTATAACAAAATTATACAAATAACCTCATTGCCCTAACCACCAAAAGACAATCTGATTTGCATTTCAGATGTAATACAACTTGAGCTAATTCGTAAAAAGTTTAAAACTATAACAAAATTATACAAATAACCTCATTTCCCTAGCCACCAAAAGACAATCTGATTTGCATTTCACATGTAATACAACTTGAGCTAATTCGTAAAAAGGAGGAAATTCTTCAACATTTGATTCATCATTATTACATTATGTCCATAGAATCATGGGTGCTCCGGTCGCCGAAAGATAGTCCGTTCGATGGTGTCTGTAGCTGAGGCGAGTTGTGATGATGAGCTCGATTGTTGGTAACGGGAGCAGAAAGCAGCTGTTGAGGCTGATGATTAGGTTGGTTTGGAAGGTGTTGTTGGTGAGGGAAGAAAGGTGCAGCAGATTGCTGAAATCCTCTGTTGAACGGGTTCCCATTAACGTTTGAGATCTGCCCAGTTGCTATCTTGAGCCGCTGAACTTCCTCCCTTAATGCCTCGTTCAGAGCTGTAAAGGTCCAAAAAACATCATCACTGATATAATTTTTTACCAATAAGTTGAGTGTTACAGTTTACTAAAGTGTTACAGATCTACGCTCAGAAAAGAGAGCGGCCAATATTAAGTAGTAAACTATGGCTGTGAAAAAGGCTCCTCATTCACAAATAGCTGGTGTTTGATTCACTTAATAGCCAAACGAGCTGAATGCGAACAGTTTTTTTGAGCTCGAATTAAAATTAAGCTGAACAAAAATAATTTTTATTATTTTATTGCACTCGGCTTATTTTGGCCGGAGTTAATTAAATAATTAAATAAATAATATTATTATGACATTTTTTGTTGATTCTTTATGTTGTATTAAAAAAAAAGTTTAACTTTTCTATTTTAAAATCATTTAAGCTTAATGCGAGCTGAAATAAACAAACAAATTTGAATCGAGCCGACAATGAACATATTATTTACAAACCATTTTGAATTTGTTTATTTCAAACAAAAAAAAAATACTCAAACAAGCCGAACACGATAAGAACTGGGTTCGCTTGTTCATCTCATTTACAACCCTATTGATTCTCAAAATAAAAATGAAAGAAAATAGCAATTTGTTAAATAAATCATTTCCTCTGGGCCGATAGGCAACAGACTAGAGGACGCAATAGAATGCAAAACATGTGACAAAACCTGATATAACTATTTGTTAATGAATCCTATGGAGAGACTAGTAGGCTTTTGCTGTCTGAGAGTCCAAAGTTATTAAACATTACCATCCCGGAGATGAGCCTGCTGTTCCATAGACTGCAACCTCAACTTCAGTTCCCTATTCTCAGTAGTTAAACCAGTCGTGTCCCTCTGCAATATAGATAACAGGATCATCATAAGCATGAGATTTTATGCTAATAAGAAATTCAATTTTAAGAGAAAATAGTGTACTTTTTTTTTTCATGACATGTCTACATAATATCCAGTTGCTGTTAGAAGATAAAATATTATAGCTTGTTGCATCATATTTCTATCTCAAATAACATAATCATTCTAAAAACTATATATCCAAAAAATTATCACCAATTTTTATTTGACTACTAGACATACAGCAATCTATTTGTTAATTTCCAAATACAATAGCTTAAACATTCCAAATATCTTTGAATTTTCTCCCTTCTATGTATTTCTTTAGAGATCGTAATATTTAATTTTCATATAAATCAGCTTGAAACTACAAACTCTCATTTTATCCTCCTCCCAATGTCCGTCTGTATTGAATTAAGATTTTACTCTAAATTCTTGTCTGAGTACGAGATTGACATGAGCTAAATTCATAATGAACATACTATTTTTTTCCAATCAATCATTTTTTCATCTCTTTACCACTTCACAGTGCTCGACAAAAAATATCCTAAACCATCCGTTAATAGCTATTCTCAAGTACTTTCAAGCTCCAACAATATCTACTCGGCATCTCCTACAAAAAATCAAGATGGTAATTGCAAAACCATCCACTTCCAGCTTTGATTACTTGAATACCTTACCAAGCTTATTTTCATAACAATTAAAAGAGAACAATTTTGCTCAATCAGAAATTCATTCTGAAAGCTAAGGAGTCATTGGGATCATTTTGTTCTTTGTTTCCTTTTTTTTTATTTTGTTTATCTTTTGATTGAAAATAAAACATGTTTAGCATATTTAATTAAGAAATGATTTTTTTAAAAGCACTCAAAATACTTGAAAGTTATTTTGAGTGTTTCCAAAAAATTTTAACTATTTTTAGAAACTAAAAATAAAAAACATCTAAGAACATATTTTGGCCTCTATCGTTCCTTTTATCTAATAAGAGTCAATAAACTCATGAGTTCTCGACAACTTCCTATCTATCCAATTTCATCAACTCGCCTAATTCAGAATTCCTCCAACTAATTAAGTTTGATGAACTAACTACCTTTTGAGATTTTCTATTGTTGTCTTTTGGAATGTTCTCCGCTATATAAGCTTCGGATCACAATCGATATTTTTATTCTCCTTTTGAACCTCTATGATAGATATACTTTCTTAATGGAAAATTAAAGGAAATTCCCTATTAGCTTTATGATTATAAATAAGGGTGGGATCAGAGGGTAAGAGAAATAATTGATACTTAAATACAATTTTTTAGTTATAATTTCCATTCATACTGCAAGAAATAATTGATACTTAAATACAATTTTTTAGTTACAATTGCCATTCATACTGTTTGTATGATCTAAATCTTCAAATGGATTGAAAATTTGAATAATTAAGAGAGATGTTATCTCACTGTACAGACGAAAAGCGTCTTTTTTGGAGTAATATTCTTACTCTTGTTTTACTGTTGTAAATTTTATTACTAGTTAATTTGTATGCGTCACTTTAAGGAATTTTAAAACAATATAATTTTCAGTCTGCATGAATTTCAAAATATCTATTATAGGGCATTCTTGATCCTGAATTTCAAGATATTTTTTCCAGTAGACAGCCATTAAATTTTGTTACGTTGGCCCCTAGCCTAAAAGCAAATTGGTCTTTTGTACGCCTAAGGGCAATTTAATATTTATTATTATTGTTATTGGGTATAAATAGGCTTTTTATGTCTAGGATTAGGTTTATGCATGAGATTGAGTGGTGAGTCTTGGGTCTAGGATTTGGGAGAGATTTCCAACCACTCAAGTTGTAGGAATTGGGAGAGAACGTCTACCTCTCAAATTGTAGGTATTTATCTTTGTATTATTATTGAGTTGTTTGATTTACTGAAATAAATTATGTTTACCCTAACTTTTTTCTGGAAAAAAAACGTGCCTATTTGAGGTTACATCATATCAAATTGATATCAGAGCAGTCAGTTCCCACCTCTGGGAATCAAAGGAAAGAGAGTCATGGCTTCGATCCACGACGTGACAAGGAAAGCCATGAACAATTTCTGCGGAACGACAAATCCTACACACTCGAGAAGCTAATAGAGATACAATCGGCGATCAAAGACAAAAATGTCACGGGATGCGTCGCGGCGTACATAATAGCGAAGGGAAGCAAGGGACGGGCCACAACAGTTGCGATGGCGGCTCCTGCGTGACCAACGCTAGAGATATAGTTGCAATTACAGTTATTGAGGAAGGCAATGACGGGCTCGCGGCTCACAGAAGAAGGCAACAACATACTCACGGCATACCGAACAACGATTTCTTTGTGAATCGTCCGTCACAGGGAAGGCAATGATGGGAAGCAGTATACAGAGACCTGAAACTCCCATTCTTCTCTTCCTCTCGCGCTGTCTAAGCGGTCGAAGCTAGCTGGGAAGGCAACGGCGGGGAAGCGACGTACAAAGACCCGAAACTCCAGTTTTCTCCAGTTCTCGGGGCGTCCAACACTTACGATGGGATCACGACTATAGTGACGCAATTCAAACTATCGAGCATGCGCGTATCTGTGCTTTATTTCAGCAGACATGATTTTTGCTACTAATTTCAACTTACATATATCATTTCATGTATGAAGCTATTGAATTTCAACTTATTTGTACCGATGTTATTTAGATCGATAGCAGGCATACGTTCTCGTGATACGGACACGCGAATCAATCGACGAGATTTCAACACGCACGTGTTTCCACGTTTTGTGATAAAAAAAAACTTTTTTGAGAGTGACGACAGTAAAAACCGGATGATTTAGAGAAAAAATTTAAGGAACAGATAAGCCAAATTGGGTCTAGGATAAACGAAAAATTCGCCACCACAGAGGATAGGTTTTCTTCCTTGGAGAACCGAATGGAGAACCAATTGGAGAGCATGGGGGAAATTTTGAGAGATGTTAAAGAGGCTCGTTGAGATGCAATTCAAGACTCTGTTGACGGCTCAATTTGCAAAATCTAAAGAAAAAGAGATCGAATGAGAGGAACATAATAAAAAAAACATCCACCATCATGAATGTCCTCTCAAGGCTCCAATTGGAGATGTATTAAATATTTATGATGGAGGCGGTTGGGTTGAAATATGAAGAAAAGATTATGCAAGAGGGATGGGGAACAAGGAGAAAAAATTAGAGAAGCATGATATGGGGGGAAACAACAAAAGAAGAGGAATCTGGGGTGTAGATATTAAAGTTAGTGAGTTGAAAATGCTGATCTTCGAGGGGAAAGCCGCACATGGGTGGGTGTATCAGACAGAGCCATACTTGGCAGTGACGGGGAGGAGAGAATCATGCGGCAGTGTTGTGTTTGGAAAGGAAATATCTAGCCTTGTTTTAGCTGAGGGAGGCTAGATACTCAATCCATTCATCAGAGGAATTCAAAGATTATTTGTTAGACCGTTACAGAGCAATTCAAAAAGGAGACCTACACGAACAATTCAATGCCATGACTCGGGAGGGGATTATCATTAAATATAGGGAGAAATTTGAGCTATTGTCAAGACAGCTTAAGGGGATTTCTGAAGCAGGATTAGATGAAAATTTCATGAAGAGCCTAGAACCCAATATACGGGCATCACTCCAACCATTGAAACCACGGGAATTGAGGAAGACGATAAAACTAGCTTAGATGGTGGAGGCCAATAATCAAATGAAGAAGGCTACCGGGAGCAACAAAGATGAAACGCCGTACCGAACTGTTGCAACCACGACAATACCAAAAGTTCAAACAATGGAAATCTATATGCGGGTTGCACGAGACACAAATAATGAATGACTGGGAGCAATACTCAAGCTCTCAAAGAGACAGATTCGGGAGAAGCAAGCCAAGGGGTTATGTTTTTTGTGTGATCAGAAGTTTACCTCAGAACACCGTTACAATGATAAATAATTACAAGTTCTCATAGTGCATAACGAGGAGTCAGAGAATGAAAAAATAGAGATAGCAGAGGGGGACATCCTCATCTTATTTAATTTCAATTTTTACGATTGTATTAGAATATCAACTAGATGCAGGAGATAATCAACATCAATTAAAAAATAACAAAAATATGTGATTCAAAAGAAAAAAATTTAAATTATGTAATGCCAATCAACTCCACTTCTATTATGAAATCTCAAGCGAGTTCTTCTAGAGGCAATCCTTCTAATAACCTTCTTTAATTTTCTCATCAGTACCATTTTCCGACAATATCCTTCTTTAATGATTGCACCACAAACTGTTTTTTATCTTATGCCCTTGAACAACCTCATTTCTTTGATTTATTGATGATTATTGTGCTCTTCCTAGATTGATAGTTGTAAGTGTGATTTTCCACCTCCTTACTGCATCTAAAATTCTATCACAATATTTGCAGATAAGAGCGAGATCAAGTCTTTTGTGTGATATTTTCATGTGATCGCATTCTTATGTGTAGCAGCAGCATCAGTTTTTCACAATCAATTTGATAGGATGTTCACCTCCATTCTGCTGCCCATCAGTTTTTCACGATCAATTTGATAGGATGTTCTCCTCCATTCTGCTGCCTCTTGTTGACCTCATTTTTAGTGAGGTCTAGTCTTCCTCTTAGGGTTTAGGATTTAACCTTAGTAATCTCCCTTCGACAATCTTAGAACCTTAGAAATGGAACCCGCCTTGTTCTAGAAGTCCAACCCACTTCTGTACCTTTTTGGAGTTTCGCGTGTGTGGTATCGACTTCTAGCACTTAGAAGAGCACTTAGAAGGGTGAAACCAACATGAGGAAACCCAAAAGGGATCCCTATAGGACCTTCCTGAGCCTTAGGGTGGCCTTCTGCACAATTTGCACTCCCGCGTGCACAAACTTCGCAATTCGGAGAATTGGCGCCTTCGATCGCCACAATTCACATCGCTTGCACCGTTACCTATCGAAAACTCGAATAAACTTTTTGAAACAATCAATCGCGGGTCGAAATTTTGT